CACAATAAATCTTCGACATATTGCCTACGCAAAATACAACGTTTAACGTTCAACCAGAAATCCAACTTCCTTGCATTGGTTTTTGGTTGATTAATTTTTGGGCTCCGTCTCATGCCATTAACAACTACATTTGCTTGCGATTACCGGTCAGCCCTCTCAAATAATTCATTCATTGGCATCAGTTATTGACGTGCATCGATCTTTTTACCATAATGAACTGAATGATTCAGAATTAGATCAGCCACCAGAGGTAGCACCCCGATCTCTGGAAAGAAGGGCTTTTTAAAAAACGGAAAAAGTGGAAACGAAATTTACACATGATGCCAAACCGAAAACAACGTAGACAGTTCGCTGCCTGATCTTAAAAAAGACATGTCGTTGGGAAAATTTTGCAGAAAATGCGTACTCAAACAGGATACTTAACAGCGCGGCGCCTTTTGAAGTGTGGGAAGAGCGAGGCCATTACAGACGCAGTTGGTTTTACCCTGCAGAGGGTATAAAAACATGTGTAAATTAGGCCCATCGCCGGTGGACACCCTCACAAATAGGACAAATAAATAAAATGTGATCTTCCCTTCTTAGGTTAAGTGGGGGAAGTGCGCTGATGTTAGCATCCAAACACAAAGATAATTGCTTGCGATTTGGCTGGTTATGGGTCCAGCTCAAGGTAGCACATATATGTATCTGACTCTGCATGGGTTTGTTCTGGACTAACAAATTCAAGCAACGAAATAAACAAATATGCACGAACTTACAGCAAAAGCAACTGCTACGAAAACATTCCGTGTTACACAAGCGTTTTGGGTTAAAATTAGTCACAAGGAGCAGGATTACATACCTCCTGGATTTTTGTGCTCCGATCTCTCTCGCATTAAGCAGCAACGTCCTGCATCGGAGGTCAACTTCTAATAAGCTAATATAGCTAATAAGGCTGCAGCTAATATTACCCCGTAAACTCTTGACTTCAGTCTCAAAGTAGAATAAAGACAATAAATGTCAAGCAAAAACCATGACATTCTAGTATGCATGCCTTTCTCCGGTGAGTTTTGGCATTAAGATTTTGAAGTGGAAGATAAAATACGATTCGAAGCCTAACGGGAATCTGGAACATGAGACGTTTATGTGGTGCACCGCATGTGAAGGTATGTTCATGCCGAGACATTCTATAACAGGTTGGCCCATCTTACTCTTGCAAACATATTTCGTACCTTGTGAACAACGGAATACATATGAGCATCAGAAGCAAACCAAAGGGGAACTGGGCTAATGAAATAGAGCAAGTGTTTGGACTGATGGCACAATAGGTACTTTAACGGTACCTAGTTCACTAGATACCTCACTATCAACATCATCATCATTATATAGAATTATTATCACCAACGCATTGATTTCAAAAATGAAGTGATTCTTCGAAAAATAAACAATTTTGGAACTTACCCAAGTTTTTGCTTGTTAAATTTTTCCTTGTAACTTATCATAAATATAATACCTATAAAATTAATAATAAACTGAGGCGTAAATCACAGCGTCCACAATTATAGGAGACATTAATGATTTGGCGGCAGGTTAGATCAACTTTGCTAGCTCAGCATCAAAAGCAAATTTTAGAAAGTGACATCTCTTGGTGTAACTCCACACACCACCAGCCACCCCTCCCAAATCTCTTAAAAGCCGCCTGTCACCACCCCACATTTGCGACGAGTGAGTCCCGCACCACCGTGACCGTACCAGACTGTTCCACACCGGTCACCGCTCACGCTGCACGCCACTCTCACGCCGAACACCCCTGACTCCTGCTGCACGCAACGCTGTCGTGCCGCGCACCCCGCTCTCATGCCGCACGATCCCGCTCTCCTGCTGCGTGGACGGCCCTCACCTCGGCGTGTCCTGATCGGTGTGACGGGACCGCGTGCGAGCGCGACTCGAAGTCACGCCTCACGCTGTTGTCGCGCCCGTCCGGGGCACCGGCGGACGTCAGGCGGGCCCATCACCCGGCGCACTCACTCATCATGCACGACTATCCCACGACGGCGCCCCGTCCAATTAGGGTGACTTTTGGCCAATCAGACTAATTTGCCCCGGCCGCCGACGACCGCGGTGTAAAGACAGGTTACCGCGCGAGCGTGCAGACAGCTCGCCTCGCCCGATGCTCCACTCGCCGACAGTCCGGGGACAGACCGCTGGGTTTTGCGGAGGGGAGGGTGAAGGGGGGGGGGGGGGGGGCGGGGAGTTCCGTGCCGGCAGCGCGTACTCCGGTAGAATCACGGTCGTGTGCAACAGACGGCGTAGAACAGAAACGTCGCAGGCTAAGATTCGCGCGGAGTTATCAACGCTTTAGCCCGGAGCGCCATGAAACGATATAGCACAGTCACCTAAGGGCAAGCGGAGGTCATTTCGTTTTTTCCGAAAAAGAGTCAGAGAATATCTTTGCAATTGTTCTGTTGTGCTGCGCGGTGTTCTTTGATGCATTTTTACAATAAGTGGAAAAGTAAAAAGGACACCGACACACCGAAAGGACAATCCGTGTCAGACGGTGCGCCAGGTGTTACAAAATGTCCGGACATGTTGCAACACGGTCCGAAGTCACGCCTAATCCAAGAAGTGTCAACCAAGAGTGGCAAAAGCGATCAGAGAAAGTAAGTGGTCCAGGATAATTTTTAGTTTCAAATTACATTTCTCACTATGCGCTGTATGTCTGCAAACTGAACGCATGCATATATATATATATATATATATATATATATATATAATATATATATATATATATATATATATGCATGCTTTCAATTCGCAGACATACACGCGCAGTACCAGCGGAACTCTATTTCTCGGGTAGCCAACATTGCAAATACATTTCTGCAGTTACTCGTAGCCCAATTTGTCCCCAGACCGGGAAAGGACGCTGTCTGAGCCCCGTCTTCGGGTTCACCGGCTCGGCGTGATTCTGCGTGTCGGACTGTACCGCAAAACACGCCTGTCCGCCGGCGCACGCTACCCCCGCACCGCGCGAAGTGCGCCGGCAGCAGCTGCGTCCGCGACACTGTGGCTCTGGTGGGACACCGCGCAGGCCATGACCACTGCTAGAGTAGAGTGCTGGAGAGGCTCGCCGGTCCGGGAACACTCCGAATCTACCGTCAGTCGACGACGGGCACTCTCGAGCAGTGGCGGACCTTGGTGTGTCGGGTACAGGAGAGGGTAGACCTGAGAGCCCCGGCGGGGTGAGACGGGTCCGGCTGCAGGGCCCCAGTTCTCACGCGGGGGCAGTTCATGGTCCTGATGGCGTTCCTAATGATGACAAAATAGAGCTGGAAGACGAAACAAAAATAGAACAAGATTGCGGAATGAGTTTACTTGGTCCGGGCCGTGTCCTTCATTCAAACACGAGGCCACTGATTTTCCGTAGAGGCCTTGCGGACGTTGTACGACTCGTTCGAAACAGTTTTCAAGCCTGGGTTGTCAAGAGTGCTACCCTCAGCATAAATCCAGGTGAGATATTCCTACTGTAAGGTACACAGTGGTGGTACTTTCACTCAGTGTTTACGTGGAAGGCAGGGTCGCAGAAAAGGATCTCTTAAGGGGGACGGGTTCGGTGAGTGCGCATTCTGCCGATTTTTATTCTTCTCTCGGGAGGCCATCTGGATCGAAAACAAAATTAAGAACTTGGGCCTAAGTGGGGGGGGGGAGGCAGCCCCTTTGGCTGCTCCCCTGCACGGAAGGTAATTGCCAGCTGCAATAGAAAGACCAGTAGAAATGAACAACCCAATTCTCATGATATAATATTCTACATCTTATTCAGTCATACTTTCAACACTCAGATAGGGCTTCATTCGCCTCCCCTCCCTCCCCCATCCCAACGAACTTGGCTCCAGCCCACTGAACACAGAAAAAGTGGTCCAGAATCGGAGAGGAACCGTTTGTTGGGGTATTTTGATGAGATATTTCGCCATTTCTCACTGCTCAGACCCCCCCCCCTTTCAACCCACCTGGCGAAACTACAGCCGTTTGAGACTAAGTTTCATTGTGGCGAAAACCAAGGCTTTTTCATACTCTACGGTTTTGCGTTCTTTCCTTTAGTTTCTTCCCACATTGAGGAACCCAATACGAACATGGTAAAGGTCTGCAATGTTTGTCTAGTCACTGCGACATTTCATTGTCTAAAATCCCCGATATTCCCATAAACCGGTTAGAATATGTAAGGGCTGTATTAAAAAATTTAGACATCCAATCTTCCGTAGAAATCCCCCCCCCCCCAATGAATTTCACGGGTTCCACTGATGGCTCCGCCCATGAACCCTACTTTAGTGACCACTGGAACGGGCCAGGTCGTGCCCAAACACGGACATGAATGCAATATTACTTTCATTGATCTCGTGTTCACGCTAGCCGTTGGTTCTTGCCCGTCAGGAAGTGAATGAAAACGCGTGGCAGTGAACAAAGGGAGCGAATCCAATTAGCTGTTGACATCCATCTCGTTGCCACCAAGCAGCAGTGTAATTGTTCTCAAGAACAAGAGCAGAACCCTGCACTGGTACCCCATTGGCCGTAGTTGGTCGGTAAAGTTCAATCGCACGCGTGACCGCAGGCCTCGCGAAATAAGCCTGATGACCATTTCAGTCCGGCAGACCGAGGCGGTAGCCTGTTTACGGGCTAGCCGGGAAAGGGTAGCCCGCCTCCAGCCAACGGAACTCGGGTTCAGAAAACGCGTTCCCGGTGGCTTAATAATAGTCCCTGCGAGGCTGAAAATAAATCGATCAGCTCGAATTGCGATGATTGCATTGTTGTGTTATCCAAGCATCGGACGAGATCGGCGGCGCGTGAAAGGACGACAACTGTTGCTATACTGCAAGCAACAGTAGTTGGGCCATGACATAAATATTTGAATATAATCTAAGGGCATGGGATAACGTTTAACGTGTAAACGTTGTTGCTTGGAGCCTTTCCCCGCTCCGCTCCGCACACATTTGGCAGGGTCTGGCAGTTGCCGCGTCCTTCCGACCTACCTCAATGAGATCGTTGGGCACGCGGCCCATCCACGAGAGCGAGAGGATGTGGCAGTCGGACCGGGCATGGCAGTCCTTCTCCAGGTGGAAGTGCATGGCGACGCCTGCCGACGGCTTCACCGGGCTGCTGTCGGCCGCGGGCTGGCGCTCCACACGGCTTCCGGACGCAGCCGCCGGTCAGCGCCGCCGCGCGCACAGCCCATGGTCCAGTCGACACCGGCCGGCCGCCGCACCCCCGCCAGGCGACGCGCGCTGCCCGCCCTGGCCAGCTCCGCCCTGCGCACCACCGTCCGGCAATGGTATGGGCGAGAAAATCGAAGCCGTGCGCCGCGTCGGCGACTAACCTGCGCTGCATCGGCGCGTCGGCGGCGACGACAGACGACGGCGGCCCGCGCAGAGACATCTAGTGAATGTTTGGTGAAACGATGGTTTGATTTGATGCCGACAGAATTTCCGTTGTGGGAAGCGGAAGGAGGCGAGGGTATTTGCGGAGCGGGATGTGATAAGGTTTGGCAAAGTCATGTGAAACGTCCTTCCAGCTCTCAAATAGCGTGATGTGCTGGGTATGAAGTATGCATTCTAACGAGGACAGTGGGTGGGGTCGATTAGAAGACATCGGGTCTAAACAACAAACGCAGCTTTTTATCCCGCGTTCCCGCCACATCTGGCCCGGTAAGAACACACGGCCGCGGACCACATCTGGCCCGACAAGGACACGTGGACACGGATCACATTTGGCCCGACAAGAACGCGCGGAACATGCGGACATGAGCTTTGGGCCAGACCTGGTGGGATTTTACGGGTCAAAAGTTTTGACAACCAAAATTATTTTTTGCTACCACTTGAGTTTAAGATTGTTTTGAAATTCAGAGTGCAACTCCACATACCATACGGTTATGAAAATGTGCATGTTATATGCCTGGCAAGGGCTGCGTTGAAAACGTAATTCAGGCTGCACAAATTAAACTATTAGATGTAAACACCTCACTGAAAAAGTCGAGAAGAGCCACCGCGTTTGCTACGCTTCCCAAGTGTGGCAAGCGTGGCCTGAAGGCAAGGTGCTCTTTAAAAAAAATTGTAGCATGCACAAACCACACCTCCAGAATCAATATAAATGGTAAATGAAATTACCCGTAAACTGTGTGACTTTCATTTCCCTAGCCTCGGTTACTGGTCCATATAACCCGCAGTTACTGATGCATAGTGCGCGTAACAGTTTTCGAAATCTACAGTGCTAACAAGTGCCCGCAGGCTTACTTCGCTAAGCAACGGATATCGTGCTTTGAAAACGCATGTAAAATCTTGTGGCGTTTTATAGACGGTTTGTTTTCGCATTATTGCTGAATGCGTTCAGCATCATTGCTAGGATTGCCTGGCCGATCCGATCTCGGGCTGCCAAGATACCTGACGGGAACCTGGTGTGATGTGCTACCTGCCAGGAACGTATGTGGGTCACAGCAAACAAACTTTATCTGTAAACCAGTTTTTCATGGAGCAACGTATGGTGAATCGCTTACAAATTTAACTATCCGTGGAGTGAACTCAACGCATCTCAAGATCGAGATTCGAAACCACATGATACAAACACAGTGTCGCACCAATTAGGCGACCAATGTCTATGTCTATATCACGACGCATGACAAAATGGCATGCTTTGTGCTATTGGTGAGCATTGCCTGCTGGACGTACAAACACAAATACAACGAATTTGCTCAAAAGATTGGCACTGCAGAAATAAAATCACATTACCAAGGTCTGTGCGTACCCCTAACTTTTGGCGAGACGAAAAAGAAATATAGCTCACAACCAATGTAGTAGAACGGGCTGGGAATGACGTTAATTCACAGATTTGACTACTACAAGCTCCTAATTGGCCACATCTCGCTTGGTATCTGAGAAAAATGTCAATCGCGTTACTATTGTCGCCTCTTCGGTACTCCACACTTTTCAGAACATACCGATTTGCGGGATGAATGAGGTGTGGAAACAGACAACAACAAAAAACAGATGATCCACATTAAACGATTTCTGGTTGACTTATTGTTTGACCTCAAGTCATTGCCAGAATTCTTAACAATTGAAAACAGCCTGGGCAAAACAAAAATTCAAGAAACAAATTATATAAGCAGAGGCTGTTGATGATTAAACAAGGTCAAGGTCAAGGTCAAGGTCATTGTCAATGTTGATGATTAAACAAGGTCAAAGGTCAACACAACACCACTCATGTTTCAAGACCATTTGCAGTCTTAAATCAGAGCACAATTATTAGACACCACACCATACATCACACCACAAATATTGAATGAGCAAATTACGTTGACATAAGGTCAGGTATGATGGTCAGGCCAGGGTCAAAACCAACCTGATTTATTTCTCTAGGGCTTGCTATATGGGATAGCTTCTAGTGCTCATTTCGAATTTATTGACAGCAGGAACCGCATTATACATCTTAAATTGACTTCTTAGAGGTCAGGACAGGCCATTGACCTACGATGGCCCGGGTCGAATATTTTGTTTTAGGAACATACTGCCTAGTGTAATATTTGTCGCTTATTCAAATGCAAAACGCAGATCAGTCTTGCATCATTTTGGTCACCATGACCTTCAAAGGGTTAAACAAGGTCAATGACCTCAAATGGGCCTGTGAAATTTTCCTTGGAGACAGTTACCTAGGTTCTGGGGCGTTTTGGAGACCAACCTGGAATTTCACCTTGTTTGACCTTATTCTACCTGAAGGTCATGACCTAGGAAGCTGAAACCTTAACCTAAGTGAGTCCACGTATAGGTCAAGACACCTTGTAAATTTGGTGTCTCTAACTTTCTTAGTTCCCGAGATCTCAGATGGGAGGGGGTAAATTGACCCCCTCCCCCCACCTGAGCGAAGGGTATCTAGCCGGCCAACCGGGAGCGTGTTAAAGCACAGTAATTTCATGAGAGCATTATGAGCATTACAAATTATTAACACCAATAATTCGATGATGCACTTTTCAATTCCGTTCCACAGCACTTTTAAAACAAAACAAAGCAAAAGAATTCAATAACAAAATAACAACAGAAAATTCGACAAGCACAAAACACTCAAACAAAAAAAAATCGGACTTCTACACATCAGCCCATCACCAAGTCAAACACAATAGACATACTTCTGGCTTCTGTTGAGATGGGGTCAAAGAAAACAAACATTTTGTCACTGTTTTTTACAAAATACCAATGCTTATCTCCATGAAAGTAGCCTACGTCCAACCTAAAGAGGCGTTACATCGTCTCATCCTGTATAACCTGTTCGTATCACAGCAGCGATTGTGAGTTACTGATTCTTGCACAAGTCCTACTGCCACTCGCTATGCGCCTGACCAACTTATCCTAGCTTAGAGTAGCCCATGTGGTGAACATCATCTGAACTCACCAATCTGTTGACAGCAGCACTTGTGATAAAAACATATTTAAAGCTAGTTTTTGGCTGGTTCCAACTTGCATTTTTATTCAGTTCATTTGTGTATGTTTGTTGACATCAGACGAAGTTGACAACACACAAATCAAAGCACTTTAAATCACTTTGAACAACTTATGTTGATTGTCATGGCTAATTTATGTCAAGGGCAATAATGGGTATGCTCCACAAAACAACTTCTCTTCTCCAAGAATAATACAACTTTTAGATGAACATGCCAGTATTGCTGCTTGCCTTTTCAGCTGCAGCAAATGCATCCATTTGGGCTTGTTTATTCATATTTAATGACAAAGTTTGACATGTTGGCTTCACATTTTAAATGGGGTGGTCTGACTATTTGTTACATGCCAATATTTAACTCATAATTAAAATTGCTACACAGTTTAGAGTATCCCTGTGTTAAAAATATAGTGCATATATACAGTACAGTGATTTGCCGGTCAACAAACCATGACAACTGAAGAAAACATGCGGTTTAAGCAGCCATAAGGGACCAGTTAAAGAAATTGGGGGCAAATTGCCAAAAATATGGAACAAAATAAGCCCATTGCATGCCTCGTCCATCATAATTTGTCTTATGGCAAAACTCGATGCATTAAAACTGAACATGGGTAACTATGGCTACCAATTATGTGTTGAAAGCAGGTAAGGTAAGCAATTACTTCGTCCACAAGAGACTTACTGGCTTCTTCCTGCTCCCCTCAAAACAAAAACTCAGTACCTTTTGCATAGGCTGCTGGCAGACAGAGCCATCCGGCTCACTCCCAAATATAAGGATCAATCCCCACCAACCTTCGAGATTAAAATGCGGAACAAGTAAGAGGTGTGCATGATAAACATCTCCAGAGGGCAGAATTTCGCCATCAAACACTTCCGCATTAGCTGCGCCAGGTCTGTCCTAAGGCTCTATATAGCAGCATTTATTGTAATGCTGATGCCTTGCCACGTAGCCTGGTGAGTCAGACACTCGAAAGGCTTGGACTTATCATTATTGAACACCGCCATGAACCAAGAAAACGGTTAACCGAAGGTTTAAGAGGGCAAAAATGGCGTTAAAAATAAGCTCCGCGCTTCAAATTGTCTCCTTCATTTCCTGTGAATTGTGCATGCTTGGATGCATATCAAACATGTTTGGGCAGCTGGCGAATTCATCCAATTTATGTATAAGATACGTACAAGTTTGCAGCTGAAGCATCCTGCAGAGAAATTTGTCAAAATTTTAAGCAGAAGATGGTACATTTAAAGACAATAGAAAAGGAAGGATGACTGAAGTGGTATGACACTGGTATGATACCAAGAAAAACAAAAGGAGCCAAATAAATATAAAGACTGGCACTTTTCTCGCAAAATTTTGTTATCAGCTGATTTGACTTAAAATACATTAATATCAGTGCTCACATGGTGATTTTCATCTCGCAATTTTAATTTATAAGACATCTCTTGAACTTTTCACTCATGCATTTCGGGAGTGATGCAATTTAGTGGTCAAGTTTCCTCGGGAAAAAGAAGTACGCGGAGTAAAATTCTCTACCAGGCCTTGCTGGTGTTTGCACCAGGCTCTGCTTTCGTGGTGTGGTGGTGAGACCAAAAAAACAGGGGATGCGTGAAAACCTTGCATTTGGCGCACAGCTGCAGATTGTGATGCATTTTGTAAACAAACCAAACTTAATGCGTGCAAGCGGCTGGGGTTGCTGGGGTTCTTGGACTTGGAGGTACCTGGCGCCCTTGCTCTGTGCATACACAGACATGGTTTAGATGTAGGTGAGGCAGGACATAGCCATTGGTGTCCAGGTTCTGCGGAGCCTTGTTTATGCTTGGTGGTTTCAAGTGAGCTCGGTTTTGGATGACATCTGAAAACTTCAGAAAGAGAAATAGGGGTCTGGCATGTGCGATTAGACAATGTCAGGCGGAGTGAAAAATTCCCGTAAAATATGTGGAAATGGAGTGAAAAATTTCTCCTCATAGCATGTTGCTTTACACCCAAAGTCGGCAATTCTAGGACACCGAGTGAAACAAAAGCGGTGCACGATGCATGATTTCAACATAGGAACATAATAGCATTCAACACATGATAATAAGTTGATTCATCATAATAGCCTTCAACACATGATAAACTTTTCATTCCTACACCACATGCTTCAGGTTTTTGCTGGATTCTTCTGTTCAATGTGCTCCACACAACCGTCTAAACTTGCATTGTTGTAGCCGATTAGCGCACGCAGATGTGTTAGGCACATATGTTTTTAGACGTGTGTTTTGTTAGGTGCGAGGAGTGTTTATCTCGCCTGTTGTACATGTGCATGCATAAGTGAATAAAGTTAGTAAACTGTAGCAATAGCCTTATTCCTCGGAGAAGAACCAGGCTGAAAATATTGATGGGTTGATATTTCGGCAACACGCCTTTATCGAAACAATAGCAGAAGTGAATTCAAAACTGCCTGCCGATAATCCTACTCGATTTTCCAGGTTTTCTTTTAAACAGCAAGTCACGGTTTTTACAGGACACCAACATTCAGGGGACTCAACAAAGAGCAACTGCCAGCCATTACCACGATACAGTGGCTAACTAATAATTAGAATACGCGAACATATGTTTACTTGCAAACGAATTCAAGCGAATACGTGTCACGCATCACACTTCATTCAAACATGCAAGCGAGTTGAAGTAAACATGCATCACACATCGTGCATCAACTAAACATGCAAGCGATTTCAACTGAACAGGCATCGCACATCACGTGTCAGATATCACTTACACATGTAAACGATTTTATGCTAGCACACACCATACATAAAGGCACATATCACGTTTGCATAATCGGCCATGGTGAGCCCTGTGTGTCAAGATTTGGTCGCTGACTTTTTATAAGAATAAATGATTGACTTATTTTCCTCTCTGAGTAGTCCTGTGCTCTGTAGATGACTTTGAGCTCTAAAAGGGCCATAGGGTCCATACCTCCCTCGCTTTCAGCCTGAGCGTATTTTGCCCCAAAAATGGTCACCGAAAAATATCACATCACCCTTTTTTGTTCTTAGCGTCTCGCAGGTGTTCATTAGATCTCAAACGAATAGGGCGCATAGGCCCTCCGACATTGCCTATGTTCCGCCCCTGTTTTTCACATAGTCTGCATTTGATTTCGTAAACCAAGTTTTTTTTTTGCGTGCAGGCCCCTTGAAACTCAGAACTGCGTAAATGACATCTATTGCTACCCGGGCACTTAGGCTTAGATATCGAAAATTTCACCAGAAACGTTGTCGTTCTTCGAAAGAATGCCTTTTTAGAATGAAAACGCTCACGCTCATTTGGATCAGTCTTATCTTTCCTAGAGTACATAAGGTACGCTTACATATGTGTGACGTGTGAACAAGTATTTGAAATCACTATTCGCGAAAATAGACCAAGGCTGGTTAACAAATTCGCACAACTTCGAGCTAAGCGCCAGGTGAATCATTGTTATGAAGAACAGGTTGACAGTCAGACAAGTCAAAAGAGAGCGAACAGTTTATCGTTCGTAGAACTTAATGCCGCAGGACTTAATCTTCTAGCTAAAGGTTCGAACTTTGCGCAAACGCAGTCAGCATCTAAGAATATTTTACGTAAAGTAGAAAAAAAAGCTGAGCGTTTTGCATAAGGCGGACGGTGGAAAGACTAGATCTAAAAATTGCGTAATGACAGGAACACAACTAGCGCTGCAACAGCACCGGGCCAACATCGACCAGCTTCAATAGACGACGCGGCAGTACCATCAAAACCGGGGAAGGCACGTCGTGGCCTCAGTGGGGGAGACGCTGATGATCGCAACTAAGATCAGCCTCATCGAGGTCGCATCCCAAATCTGTCGTTTATATTTCCAGACATTGTCAAGAACTTTCTGAAACATTCCAGTAATGAAGAAAAAGTCAGCCTACAGAAATTGTAGGATGACGTACTGCGCACGTTCAAAAACCATAAAGTGGACAAGCTAAATGTTACTGCAGACCAGCGGAACTTTATCAGGGACCTTAGTAAAAGTGATGATATTATAATTGAACGGAGCGATAGGTGTAAGGGTTTCGTAATCTTAGACATGCTCACTTATGTTAGCAAGGCTAAGGCTATCAACGACAGCGACTGCTATGAAAAACCGAACAGGAACCCAGCCCCTCAGGTAGAGGCTGAAACAAAAAGAACACTTAAGAGCACAGTTAGCGGACAACTTTTGGACAAAATCATCAAAGATTTGGGCTTGCTAAAGATTACAAACCTGCAGTGCCCCTTAGACCTATCATATCTGCGTGCGGTAGTCGTACGGAAAAAAATTCGTGTCTTTTAAAGAAAATATTAAATCAACACTTAAGGTTTGCTTCCAGTCATCTGTGGGACGCTAGAGATTTTTCAAAAAAAGCTTCTCATTATTCGCAGGCAGAATAGTTACCAGAGGGCAGTATTTTCTTCGGGGTAGATGTTGTCATTTTATATGGCAATATGCCAGTCAATGAGGCTATCGCTGCCGTGAAAGCTGAGGTAGACAAACATTTCCATGAAATTGCTGCCTTCAGTCTATCAAAAGAGGATACCTGCGGCTTTTTAGAACAGTGTCTCCGGGATGACGCTTTCTCGTTCAAAGATGAGTTCTACCGACAAAAATTGGGAGTAGCAATGGGGAAACCATGCGCTCCTCCTCTGGCGATAATATTTTTGGACCGATTTGAAGCGAATGTCCTGGCCGCCAGCCCATTGAGATCGGCTTTCTTAGCTAAATACATCAATGATTTTGCTGGGGTATGGACGCACGGATAGCGTGTCCTTGAAGAGTTTTTAGAGTCCATGAACAACCGGCACCAAAATCTAGCTTTTACGATGGGGCATACAGGGGGAGGAAAGCGGGTCCCATATTTGGATATGCTAGTAACGGTGGAAAGGAGGAACTACTGCGCAACGTTAGAAATGGAGCTCTTTATCAAGCCCACCTAGTCTGGTATAATTCTGCACTGCGAATCTGCGCATCCAACTTCCACTGAGCACAACATAATTCGTAACATGTTTCATAGGGCTCTAAACATCTCGTCAAGTAGCGGAAAGGAAAAAGAGCACACACACAAAATATGGGCTTTGCTGTGTGGCAATATGTACTCTCCGCGACCTTTAGGTAGAATGTTGGGAGAAGTAAAAAAGTTTAGGGTACGTGGAGGGATAGGTGGTGAAAGGCGGGAACACGTCCTATCAAAAGACGGTTTTTTAACGCTACCTTACATAGATGAGCATTTGCTTTGGAAAATCAAAGACATTGTTATAAATCAAAACTGCTCGCACACATAGCTTGGTAAAACAATACGCAAAATAGGCTCTAGTGGAACTATCCATCTCTTGACATTTTCAAATGCTTTGACAACACATGACATGATATGCTCTTGGAAAGGCGTGAACACGAGCTGAGCATATCCTGACCGGCTTCCCGACTGGTTGAAGCCCTACTTAAGCAGCAGGCGATAATGAGTAATACTGCTGCACTGCATTGGTAGCACTGCTTCATGGCCGCAGACCACTGACGCCGGATGTCCCCAGCGATCCGCACCCGAACATCTTCTCCCCCTCATGTAACTGAGCCAACCAGTCCACCGGACGACGAACAGCGTGCTGCTTCTGAGCCAATTAGTCCACCGGACGACGAACGGCGCACTGCTTCTGAGCCAACCAGTCCACCGGACGGCGAACGGCGCACTGCTTCTGAGCCAACTAGTCCACCGGACGACGAACGGCGTACTGCTTCACGCCGTCGACACATCACTCCGAGCTTCATGCCCAAAGCTAGCGTGCCAATCATACTAACGTATCCGCAGCGTGGCGTGGATGCTATAGACTCGTCGCCACACAATGCGCGATCACGTTTAGCATAGTAATACCATGCAACACAATTTCACCAATACAAACCCACTTAATCATCCCAGACTCCCATTTCGCAGGCCACAAAATGTCAGCAGATAACACCCATTAACCCCCAGGTTTACACTAAACAAAGATTCCCCATTGCATGCGTATGCAAACTCAATAGGTAGAAAAGTCGCGTATCCTGAAGCCCAACCAACCCCATAGCAAGGAAGTACCGAAAGAAACTCAATCAGATTAATACGACGTACGTATAGACACGCTTTGATATCTGTGACGTCATTCGCGACGGACCCATCACAATTACGGACGAAATGGGGCTCGGAGCGACTCCAACACAGGGCAGCCAGCTGGTAACACGGACGGACTCGGAGCGACTCCAACACAGGGCAGCCAGGCTGGTAACACGGGCGGATTGGAGCGACTCCAACACAGGGCAGCCAGGCTAGCAACACGGGCGGACTTCAAGCGACTCCAACACAGGGCAGCCAGACTGGTTACACGGGCGGACTCGGAGCGACTCCAACACAGGGCAGCCAGGCTGGTAACACGGACGGACTCGGAGCGACTCCAAACAGGGCAGCCAGACTGGTTTACACGGGCGGACTCGGAGCGACTCCAACACAGGGCAGCCAGACTGGTTACACGGGCGGACTCGGAGCGACTCCAACACAGGGCAGCCAGACTGGTAACACGGGCGGACTCGGGAGCGACTCCAACACAGGGCAGCCAGGCTAGCAACACGGGCGGACTCGAAGCGACTCCAACACAGGGCAGCCGGCTAGTAACACGGCGGACTCGGAGCGACTCCAACACAGGACAGCCAGGCTGGTAACACGGACAGACTTCTAACACCGACAGAGGCGCCACAAGTAAATTGGCTGGGACATGCTAAAACAAGACAGAACATGCATGCGTTGTCTTTTCCTGAAAACTCGTCAGTGAACAGTCTGCCCGGCCGAGTGACATTTTTTTCAATGATCTCCGCAACTAGACAACTGAAACGGACAGAACATCACGAAATGCAAACACAGATACTGTCAGCCAACAGTGCCTCATCGCTCTAAGGATCCTTTGCCCCCAAAGTCATAGGACACGGTAACATTCCAGAGTTTATCTGCGTACCGCCCTCACCCTGAAACTTCAAAGAGCTTTTACACAGCGGATGGGTAGATGGTGCAGATATATGTAGAAGGATCACTGTATCTCTAAAACTACGGGTTCATAAAACGGAGCCATTCTATACTGCACTTAGCCCAAGTATGACATCTCTAAAAGCGTACCAGTACTGAGATCCGAAAGCCCAGAAGAAATCTGTAGATATGATCCAGAATACACCTTGCAATTGGCAGGTGAATGGCCTTTAACACTCTAGCACAGAGTAGAGCTATTTACGAACATAGCATTACTAACGCGCTCAAATTCTCAGATTTCCTATCTCCTACGCATCTATGCTAGATTTATTTCTTACCGGTGCTAGCCTTAGCAACAGCCTTACTCGCAGAGGAGGTCTATACTTTCCGGGATGCCTCATAAGAGGACGCTTCGACCAGCAACCGTACACCAGTGTCCGTGCTCGCAGGCGTGACATGCAGCGGAGCAGCTGACGAACGGATAGGCGGATTTTCACACGACGACGCAACCTTGAAAAAGTTTCAGTTGGTGACGAGCGGTGCTACGATTTAAGCGTTAGCTAATACGCCAATCTTTTGGGCTGTGAACGTTGTGTTACACGTGTTTTTATCTGTGCTCGTGCCACAGATCAAATGTATCTCATGATAAGGATGATAGTGTGTCCCGTTTTCGGAAAACTGTTTTCGAAAAGTGAAAAAGGAAAAGCTGTTTTTGTCTGTTCCGAGTGCGTCTGATGATTATGCGGTGAACTTAGAATAAAAATGGCGTAGAAATTTCATATTCCTATATGCCATCCATCTCTCGATCATAATTAGTTTCTTATGGGTTTACAAGTTGACACTTTTATGGATTTTAGACTATGAAAATACCTGTCTCAAAGAATTCTATTCCATGTTGTTGGTTACAACCGCCATCCTCGTGAAACCATTTAAAAACATTGCTGCGACCTGAACCCAAAAGGGCGCTATTAGAATTGCAGTTAATTTGTGCATGCTGTGGTTCTAACGCTACACTAGTATATAACAACATCTGACCGTTTAAGTTGCACCGCACGACATATTTATCTAAAAGTCGCTTCGTACGCATGATGCGACGCTATAAGTAGTTCATGTGTTAACTCGTGACCGGAGGACAACCTGTCAATGTAAAACAACAAATTATCATTACATGTGCTTGGGTGGGGGTTAGATTGACCCGCCCAAAGTCTTTTTTCAGAATGATTCCCGGACGGTGCGGCGTACCCACTCCAAACTTTGCATGGCTGTGGAAAATTTAATACCGTAACTTTTGACGTGAAAATCAGATGTGCCTTGTAAGGACGCTAACCTATGGCAGGCCAAAGCCAGGCCATAGCTGTCAGCGAAGAATATTTATAGGGAATTGTTTTTGTGATGCAACAACGGAGTGTTAGACGAAGCCATACCCATCCGAAATAGTTATTTGACAATAAACCATTTGAATTTAGAATTACAACCAATTCCATCGACCTAGGTTAGTTATGAAGGTCAGGCCAAGGCATAGGCGTAAGAAGGTTTCAAAAAGTTGGCGGAGGGGGCAAGCTCAGGTCGTATTTCAGGAATTTTGTTTCTGGAAAACATGCCCGATCACCGGGGGGGGGGGGGGG